CTACTTTATTGCCTTTTTTGCGTTAACACACCGCACTCACCCGCTTTCAGGTAGTTGCAAGTCTCACTTTCGAATATCATTGGCATCTTTAAAAGTGCACTCTTTCTCACCCATTTGCAGGTTGACATTAGTACTCAGGAGGTGTTTAAAAGGTTTTCAGATGCAGGCGCCGATCTTGCAGTTGTTTCACCGGTTCTGTGTTGTGCCGACTCGGCTCCTGTTGAGGCTTCCCTAAAGGCCTTAGACCAGTTGTCAATAAAATACGTAGCCGACAGTGTCATTCAACTGGATGGAAAACTGGTTCCATTTACTTCACAAAACTTCCTCCAGTTGATACAAACGGTAAATGCATGCCAAGTTTGAAGTATGCGCCACATTCGTTATACATAATATACTAGAAAGTTCCTTTAAAAGGAATGAAGATATCTTTTTGTGCCAATTAAGTGCTCCATTTTAGACTGTTATTGAAGTATCTATTTGCAATCGACCAAATTTCACAATTTGCTTCTCGAAAGACGGTTTCCTGTGCGTAGTGGATTTCAACATTTACGCAGTAGGACCCGGTAGTAACGTTTCGGTATGTTTGAACGTATAACGATCATCTTGCATAGCTTTCCACTGGATTCTATGATCATCGCACTGGACAATTGACGCTCCTCCCCAATATCTATAACCGAACTGTTATAAAACTTCTGGCTTTCCAAGTAAGCTGAGTTCGGGTTTTCTTAGCTTATTTTCCATATTATTTGCACCAAACACCCCTCCTGCAATACCTAACGAAAACGCCTCGTTGTTCACCTAAATTACTTTTTAGGATGCAACCTTTCTGCCTTCTTTTGAGAATAGAGAATTCTCAATGGCCATGCAGATGATCAACGAAATCTTTCCCAGTAAAACACGCTATGAAATTGAGGTCGTTCCAGTGGCTTACAACAAAGGTGTGGTCATTCAAACAACTGTCGAAGATTACTTGAGTCGATCGGATGTAGGTGCCTTAAAAGCTCACCAAACCTCCTCTTTTCCTTCCTTAAACCCTTCTCTTTCATCCTTCGAAGGTCACAATGGCGATGTCAGCCTTTCCCTTGCCATTGGACACAAGCATGAAAGTCAGGCACACAGGAGCAGTTCTCTACGATGGTGTCGTTATGTTGAAGAGTCGAAAAACGAGCAAGCTCACCTTATTCCATATTTTTGACTCTCTCAGTGGTTTCATCTGGCTGTGTGTTTTTGCTTCACTCATCTTCGTTGCCATCATCTTTTTTATCATCAAAGTTGTTAATGACCATCAGTGTCGGAGCATGGGCATTGTGTCCGAGGATGGGGACATTCCTCTCTTCAAACGCTTTCTTACTGTCATCTTTCGCAACTTCTCCGCTGTTCTACTAGCTAAGGTCAGTCGAAATCATGCCTCAAAAAGACTCCCAGAGGGCAGAGTTAAATGGGGCTTACGGGAACCCTGTTAGTCAGGCTCGTACTCAGTATTTCAGGCAATTTTTAACACCTCGCTTCAAAGGCGATACTATCATGATGCCTCATTTACAACCCGTTACTAAGATATCACTTAGACCGAAAATGTACATCCAAGACAGTACTGAGGAATCCTTGAAGTAATCCAAACAGAAGCCATTCCGAAATTGCTTCCATGCCGCTCACAGAAGATGTTAGAGGAAGAACAGTCGCCTATCTCGTTGCCTCTCGTGTGCAGATGCGTGGCGAGTTTGAATGGCCAGGAATCAAACATAAGTTTTTCAATTTGGATGATTTGAATGCACCGCCTTCTGAACACACACTGATAGCCATGAGAGTAATTAGTTTTCACCATATGGGAATTGTTAGTTCCGCAATAAAGCATTGTAAGCTGTCGCGTTCAGTCGGCAATGACGGTGGAGCAGGTCTGCCTTCTGATATCCTCTCATTCATGCTACTTCTCATATAGCATGCTATAAAAGCTTGGCCACCCTGTCTTTTTGCGTCAAGATGCTAGTGAAGCCGAAGTTGACGTCATTGAGAGTGCTGTACCAGTCCTACTGGATGGCCTCCATCCTCATCGTGGCAACGTACGCGGCATCTCTGGCGGAGCAGCGTTTCGTACAGCGTGACACCACTGTGCCCTTCAACTCCCTTAATGGCCTCCTCAAAAACACAGCAAACTATCGTTGGATTTTCCTTCGCAACAGCTCTGTCATTTGGATGATGCAGGTCAGTGTCACTGCCTCTTCCTATCCACCGATTTTGACAGTTTTTTTGTCAGATCGGCATTACCTCAAGCCTGCTCTTGTTGTATAACGATTGTGTTGGGGAACCTTTTATGTTACATTGCAGACTTCGATGCACGCAAAGTTTTAATTTTTAACCAAGAAATCTCTATCTAGGATCAACTTGTTGCCACATTAGCTTACTCGAGCTTAGCCATGGAGATGATTGCTCTCAAACTCAAAGAAAACATCAATAAAGTAATCTGGAGGGAGCGCAGCCTTAATTGTCTGTCACATTCTCTCTTTTACACAGGTAACCTTGACAAATAAGCTAAAAGTTGACTTTTTCAATGGCACCCGTTAGCAGTCTGTTGTTCATACAAACTGCCACATTCTTCAGGAGTAAGTCAGGCGTATACTTTCATGCACGCACCTGTGATAGGCACGTCGATCAGCCTCTGCGCATCACCACACACACACACAGGCAAACAACTTCCATTTCACACACGAGTCCATCTTCACAGTGAGCCAGC